AATTAATTTATTCTATCAAAGCTTATTTAAGCGGCATATGATAACTGTGGAGGTGACAGCGACTGATGACACGCGACACACACAAAAAAGCGCATCTAATCATGTTTGCTTGATCGTTTTTGTGGCTTATAAATCGACTGATGCTGTTTTGTTATGAAAAAAAAACATTATATTATAAATGATAAGCATAGCTGATACGATCAAGCGAATAATTCGCCGTAAGCAAAGGCTCACTATTGCCGCGTTAGTTGGTCACTTGGTCGGCCCAAAAAACGCATGCATGCAGAGTTTGGCCCTGCCGCTTGGCGCCTTTTGCAGAGCTTAGCCTTACAAGAAGAGCATCAAATAAACATGATGAACCGATGCATGATCACGATACTTCCAACCATTTCAGAGCTTAGTGGAGGTCGATGCTATAATACTATCGAGAAGTGTAGTGTAGTATTTGTCACTTGTTCCGTGTGATAATGTCTATTGGCTGCTAGCAGCTGGTAGGTACTGGTGTGGGGCCGTTGAGGTGTCCCAGCGCACGCATGGGAACAAAACTGGAGTAACCGGCCGGAGAGACTGAGGGAGGGAGGATCATGTGCATTGCGGCCTTGTGGGGAGGAAGCATTTGTGGTCCAACAATGGCTTTGAGCTTCGTCATCTTCCCCGGCTCCTATTCGATCCTCTATGTAGTTCTCTGCCGCATTGGTTATTTGGTGGTCACCCAGGTGAAAAAATGGTCTTTGATAAAGATGCAAGGACCACCAAACACGCCACAGATATATAGTAAAACGGTTACTAATTAACGAACTTGCATTTTTGTTAGTTGTTACTCATGCATGACGTGCAGATAAAAGCTTGCTAATTCTGGAAGAAAGGATGCTTCAGTGGAGACTTACGTCGGTGTGGGCGGAGTAATCGTACCAGCCATCTGCATGTCACCAGCAGCAGGAAGCTCAAAACGATGTCACATGCATACTCGTAGGAAAGAAAGCCAAGTAGCTAGGAGGGATAGGAAGGGAAGAATAAGCGCAACACTGACCTGGAGGCACCGCCGCGGCGAGCTCACTTCCGCAATGCAGCAGCATCCACAGCACGAGAAACTCGAGGCCAGGCAGAGCGAAGCGATGCATCTTCATCGCCGCAACTAGGCGAGCTTCAGCCGCTTCCTCTGCTCAAGCTCCTCTCACGGCCTAGCTCCCACTGTAGTGTCACCTGTGTGTGCACTGTGTAGAGAATAGAGAGGCGGCAGACGGGTATGGAGGGGAAGCTGGCAGCTAAGCTATTGGGCGCAATGAAGAGAGTGCTGGCTACAGGCAGGTCGTGATCAGAGGAAGGGAGCTGTGCATCGCTATATATAGCCGATCACATGGCACCATTCGTTCCCGCACTTCAGAGCGAGAGCGCGCCCTTTTCGCACTTGGCAAGGCGCCACGGCGAGTCACGGGCCGCCGTGGGCGCCCACCACGTAATCACGTACACCTGGTCCTCGGAGAGGCTGCTGCCGGCGCAAGTAAGCGCTGGCTGTTCGTTTGGTGTAGTGGGCTAGTGGCCTTCTGCCCTTCTGGTGCTCCTGCACCGGGCCTAGCCAACACTAGCGCCTGTTCCCCCCAGTTCACATGCGATGCGCTGCGAGCGACAGAGTGATAGGCAGGCAGGCACGGGGTGAGGTACTGGAGTGGAGTGACTGCTGCAGTGTAGCATAGCATGGCATGGCGGTACGAGTGAGATCAGGGTCCTGTGAATAACCGTCGCCTTATTCTGTGGTCTCGTGTGCATGGGTCGCCCGCGCGCGTCACGCCATGGGAACTGTACCGCGGACCTCGAAGTTTCTTCTGTTGTTTTCTTCCTGGCTCCGGCATTGAATCAGAGGGTGCAGATGGGTCGGTGTACCGTGTACGTATTAAAGCCGAAGGGGTAGTATAGTAAACCGTGGTCACGATAGCCTGTCACCTAGTATTCACGTGTCGCTGGGGGGGGACGTGTCCGACTGTCCGGTAGAGTGAATGATGCCCGGAAAGTGCACAGTACAATGGCTTGAGGCCGTTCATCACCGAGGATAATCACATTCCATGAATGAAGGTGTGCAAAGTTGATCGATCAGTGATGATGAAGCGTTCGACTGGTTTCTGTGGTTGATAAGTCAGCTGATGCTGTTTTGTTGTGAGAGAAAAATACTATACCACAGCTAGGGCCGATGTCACTAGTTTCCTTTTTTTTCCTCGCTTGCTGTACACCTAAACAGTAAAAAAATTCGATCTGGGGTGGCTAGACAGCCTCGGGTATTCTGGTTTAAAGAGAAGATTTTCTCACGCGGATTGAGAAAACCCCTGAACCTCTACCCCATCCATACACAGCGACACCGTTCGTGAGATGAGCTAGTCACAGACCTGTGCTTTGAATGTGAGGTGTACACCCAACGTTTATTGGGTAGTGGCGGTAGTAGTGTTTAATACGCGGGGCGTGCTACACGCCCTACCGCATTGCGAAACATAATAGCATAGATTATTGCATGCATCACTTGGTTTGCTAATTGCTTCCACTTACGTCATCGCTATGTAGGAGCAGAGCACCAATTTGCCAAAAGCAGCCACTTTTATAAACTTACAACCTTGTACTTATGCAGCTATAACCTACCGCTGCCTTTCGCGTATCGATAAATCTATGCGACCGGAGCATCTTCTTATTATCTTCCCTTCGCTTTCTTCACCAGACGAAAAGGAGAGTTTAAACCCAACTTTTCCACAGGGAAATTGGTCCAAACTCCAAAGGCACCGCACGCCGCAGCGGTTGGTACACTAGAATTCGACCATAGCGGGCCAAAGTATTGCCTGCATTCTCTCCTCTGGAAGCCGGAATTATTGTCTGCCTTTCGGAAGTGGGTTTCTAAAGCCGCTTGCCTTGCCGGCCAAAAAGGAATCCCCTTTGCAAACACGGGCCATGCAATGCATGCATGCGGTTGCTAGAACGTTCAGTCCTTTGCCCCAAAATACACACAAACACTAGGCACTCGTGGAGAGCATCTTTTGTTCCGTAGCCGTGTACAGGGCTACAAGCTACACAAATCCGGGGAGTGGGACGCTCGCACGCGCGCTAATCCCACGTTCACATAATCATTCTATTCTATTGTATTGTAGGCGCCACCACCACAGGGTCTCAGGGAAAAGCGCATCGATCGCCGCTCGCCGTGGCGGGCAGCAGCGGCCTCTCGATGCTGGCTCACGTTTGGGCGGTAGCCGAGACGCGCTGCCCGCTTGGTTTGGCGCGGCCCGCCGGACTCGGTAGCCGGTAGGCGAGGGGTACGCCTCGGCGGATTCACGGGCGTGCACGAGCCCGAGCCCGGCCAGGCGGCCACGGGGTATGTTTGACTAGCGGTGGAAAGACGACGCCGGATAAGGCTGCGGGGGCTTCGGCGGCTCGCGCGGACACTTGCTGCAGGATTTGCAGCCGCGGGCGTTGGACAATTACAGCTCGGCTACCGTGCCCGTGCTCTTGTGGGTCATGTGACTCGGGCAATTCGTGGCCGAGATTTCATCGGGCCTTTCTGTCCCAGAACGTAGTACTCCACCGGTTGTGTCATCGGACGACCCGTGCCAAGTATATTTCTCTGGTGGAGCCTACGTTGCTCGTCTCTCTCCGTGGCGCGGCTGGCGCTGTTCTGCGCCCTGTTCGCTCAGCCAACGAACAGTAACAAATCACCAACAATACTTTTAGCCATGGTTTTTCAGCCAAACAGTCAGGCTGTGCCGGACGTCCTGCCAAGCCTCGGAGCTTTTGCTGGCCTCACGAGTCCATTCTGCTCCGGAAAATGGCAGGATGTAAAGTGCATTGTCACTTTACCAGTGTCACTGCATCAGCCTCAAGAATCTGAAGTGTTCCTGATTCCTCAACCATTCAGATGAAGATAGCTTGAGAAGTTTTTTCGATAACAGCGGCCCTACAATGCAACTCCAAATCGGACGAATTTACCTGAACCGCTTAAATTCTTCGTTCCAAACTACGTGGTACAATTACCACTTATCAGTTACCAGAGGTAACGTTAGTATTGACCACAACCGATGACAAGTCTGCAACTGGCCAAATATACAGGCAGCAGCAGTTACAATATATACAGTCATATACATACACGAACCAACATCATCATAGCACTACCATTAGCACAACCACCACAACTGTACAAATCTAATTTTATGACGAAGGCATCGATAATGATCTCAGCAATGGGCTGGAATTATTGATGCAAGAATATTTTATCAGTATCGCCTTCATTCAGCAGGGATATCAGAGCTCTGGCCTGAAAATTTACGGGGATGTCAGAATCGAATGAAGGTGAAAATTGCAACAACCCATCTGCAAGCTAAGGGGGAATTCAAATACCCACCTGCATCACAATTCTTTATCGTCTCATAAAAAATCCTTTATCGTGTAATGCCTGTAAGTTTATACGTTTTTATTGTGTTTTATATGTTTTTAAATACCCTGTATGCACGTCGACGAAGAATCAATATATATAGTTATCACATAGTCTCACTACTGAATTGCCTTATCCCCAACAAGAATTCCAAAATGTTTTTGTAGGCTTTGGAGCATCTACCGACTACATTTTTTCTGAGTTTGGGTTCCATCATTGTCATTTATAATTCTCCCAGTTGAGAAAGCTTTAGCAAAAGTATTAATGTGAGAAACATATCTAGCACCTCTTCATGGTATGTGGGACAACACGGGCAAGGGCCATGCTAGAGGCCAAAGATTAATTATACCGGCTTTTCAACAGTCACGAGAGGGGAATATGAAGACAGATCAAAATTGCAGGTGCTAGAATCTAACGATTGAGATGTACGTGGGGTTCCCACCCTAACTTGCAAGTGGGATCCCAATTTCCCTTGAATAAATCATAAAACATATTAAAAGAGCAGTCAAACACAAACAGAAACCCACGGAAAAAAATATTACATTTTCTAAAACCATTGACTTAGGAATAAGGATAATTTTATTTACCGTGATGAATTAAACTAAAACACTGCAACCAATATTAACCTAAGGAAAGAAAATACTATATGTCTGGCATGAGAATTATAATCAGTAACTTTCCAGCTGAATACTGATAGCAAATAGAAAAAAAAATAGGTTGCAATTGTTGATCCAATCCATCCAATAGTAATAGAGGCACGATAAATATGTTTTCCTTTCTCTAGGATCGAGATTCAAGAAAAATCCTGCCAGTGTCAAATATATGTGAAGTTACATACCTTTCTCTGGGTTAGGGGAAGTTATTGGACGACCTTCACCTATGCTAGAACTATCTTCATTCCTGTAAGAAATTCATCCACAGCAGAAAGTAACGCACAAACCTTTGTATATGCACTTGTTCTAAAAATATTATTATCGTACTATGTCACATCAGAGCTACCATTCATGACTGGAACATTTTACCTTGACCATAATGTATACCTGGATGGACAATGTAAGATATATGTAGCTAGATTTATCATAAGTTCTTCCAAAATATCGAATTAACTTTCTCTGAAATCGCATATTTTCATAGAAATTGTTGGTTAAAGCTTCACACTGTACAAAGTGTTGATGTCCTAAATGAGACACGTATTTTGATCGAAGGGAGTAGTAAATTACCCTTGATTGTTCTGTTGATCACTTGTAGCAGTCACCGTTGTTAAGATAGTCTCCACAGATAAACTGCCAGCGTTCTCTGTGTCCTAGAGTATAACATGCATACACTGTTAACCTTTAAGCACTCTTCTCCAATCAAAGAAGCAGAAAATACGTGTCTGAAACCAAAGTCTACATTTCAAGGGTAGCATATAATAATAAATTACCAAGGTTTCACTCCTCATCCACCCTGGAATTGTTTCTGATAAAAGATTCATGTATTTTTCCATAGCAATCTCAGGGTTCAGATTCCCTAACTTCTGCCAAGCAGCCCTGAGAAAACAATAAATGATCATTGGTAGTAATCATTATGTATTACCACTCTTTGTGCGTATCTTTACAGAATATCTAGGCACAGATCAAACCTAGCAGATAATTTCTACAATGTACTATTTCACCATTTCTTTTATGCTTTAAGACACTCAGAATGGTGACAACTGACAACATATGTCCAAAAAATAGAAGGATTGCCAAATTTTTTCTCTTATAGGATATCTCATGTCTTTCCTTAACTCTATTTCAGACTTCTATATTCCCTGGATTGTTGGGAATAAAACACATACACATAGCCATTATACACTCATTGCAAGGTTAACTCTAGCTCTACTTGTGGGCATACAAAAATATAATCAGTGGAACATTGACAGCTCCCAAGACATAAAGAGATACACATCAGTCTACCAGAAATAGGCGCAAGATATCTGTCATGTTACATCATGTAGACCGATTAGGTATGTTGAATTTTTATTCGATACTTCTGACCATCAGTCCATATTTTATAGCACATATATTATTCTTCTCACTCCAAGGGATAACTTCGGTAGTAAGATGTATAACAGGTTGGTTGGAGCCACTTAATTGGTCCAACAAAAATAAGAATTGGAAATAAGAGAAGCTGTATTGGTGTCCATGTGCAAAACATATTAGTGCATCTTTCTATGCTCGTTGCTCCAGTTCGGTGGCTCATAGCAGAATTTTCTGACATGTCACAACAACAATCCATTATGAACTCTGAAGCAAACCAACAGTTAGTGGTTTCTTTGACCAAGATGTCTTATTTTTTCCCCTCTAAATGCTATGCTACCTTTGGCAAAAAAAAAAAAAAAAGTGGTACTGTACAGATTGCTCATAAAGTGATGATTAGCTGGATAAAGCATATCTAAATATAGTGCTCTCATACACAATAATTGGCACAGGATATTATCTGGAGTGGCCTCAGAATTCGGCTGGACAAAAACTATTGCAAAACCAGAACAAGGTGCCGCATCAAACAACAACCCTATCTTGAAATGGAATGCGTCACATCAAAACATTGCAAGCTCAATATAGAGAAGCATGTTTATATGGACAAACAAGCTTTAACATGTTGATGACACACTGAAGAGATGACTGCTGGGGTAACTGGATGGGAGGCTTTACCTTGGTTACCTATTATATGCAAACTCGTATAGGGACAATTTTTTCCCCGACTACTTAAAGGGCAAAACTTGCTCAGACAGAGGTTGGCAGTGACTAGTTGCTGTCAATTATGCCTAAACTAAACAAATCAACACAATTCAGTTGATTCAGGATTGTAATTTCACCCAATCATTGCACCAGATCCACCTACATGATTTTGACTTCTATATTTTGTTTTTACATTTTATTCATTACACTTACCTTCATTCGTAGTTTATTGGAAATTCAAAACATTATCCTATGAACCATGCAGCATCATGGACAAATATTTTTTAAGACAAGAGACATTCAAAATTTAAAAGGTACTACCATGACCAAATTTGAGAAGGAAGCGTGGATTCTCGTTGTCTCATGCAGGGAAGTGCAATATTCTCTTTGCCACAAAGGAGGCAAGGTATATATAGCTCCAACTTTATATGCTTCCTTTGCTCTTCTGTAAAGGAGCTATATGCTTCTCTGAAGCTGATGAACCCAATTTCAAGAACCAAGAAAAAAAGAGGAAACCCAAAACTTGAAGCGCAGAATTGTCATAAATCCTATTCCAACCAGATACCCCAAGCTCTTAAACATAGACGCCGCATAACCTAATCATGTCAAATTATACATATCACAGCTTTCGTATTGGCATAAACCTCACATCTGATGAAATCAATAGTCAATAACACTCCAAAATGCAAGTCCTTCAGACAAAAATGATATTGCACTTATTCATTTCAGGCTTACTTCAGTAAACATGATTTATCAGCAATGGAAACAGATCAATTGCTATTTACTTCAGTAAGCTTCAGTGATTTGAACTTGTTTCCTCAGCTTAGCATCTGGTGGCTTATAAGCAGAAAGCCAGAGCCTGATGTGCGGTTCACATTGGTCTACCTAAATAGCTGAAACGATGCTGAAGCTGGTGCAAAGGTGGCTTTTGGCCTTCCAAGCAGAGTCATTAACAGACAAGTCTACAAGTGATCTCTGAACTAGAAAAAAAAATATACTAACAGTATTGAAGAATTTGATGCCTATTATACTGTAGCTACTTAAACTGTACCAGATCTCCTGGATACAACTTTTGACAGCTTTGAAATAATGAAGCACAAACTAGTTTTCAATAGGTTTTTTTTATGTGTTGTGATTTCTTCCTACTGAAAAATACTAGTATACTACTCTTGCTCTGCCTTGATACAAATATAGCAGAGGATCAGTACTCCAGTGTTGATGACATCCAGGCCAGGGTTTGCTTATCGTTAAGCTATAACCTAACACAGTGTAACACTGATAAATGTAGCCAGGGTCATAGAAAGAAGAGATGAATACCATTTCGCACGAGATGAAGGTCTCAATGTAAGTGGCTGCGCAGAATCATAACAGGGACCGTCAATGGCAGCCTTGAGGAGACCTTGAAGCTGCAGCTGCACATCACTATCGAGCTTTGACAGGGCAGCCGCCCCAGCCCCACTAGCAGCAAATGCTGCAGCTGCACCAAACCTCTTCTCCACTTCACTCCTCTCGATCCCTTCCCACTCCTCAAACTCCATGTCTGCCTCAGGGTCATCCTTCAGCAGCCCTTGCAATGTCACTGCCTCTGCAGGCAACTCGGTAACCACTTTATCAATAAAGCTACATTCATGGCTAACATTCACATCATCAATTGTCCTTGCCACCGATTCCTCTTCAGGAACCAGTTCTTCTTGTTGATCACCTGGATGGGCCTCACATTTAGCTTCCTCCTTGAACTGCACTTCCTCATGTACCTCAGCAACTTCTTCAACGGGCTGATGATGTTTAAGCTCTTTTTTCTCTGCCAATGGCACATCGAGAACTGGTTGTGGAGCAGCCCCTGCAGGCAATTCGTGCTCCTTCACTTCAACTGCTTGCTCTTCCTTCTTCTCCAATACGACATCAAGAATCCCTTCAAGAGCAGTCTCAGAATCCAATTCATCCGGCCTCACTTCGATAGCTTGTACACTCTTGTCCACCAATCCCACGTCAAGAACATCTTCAGCAGGAGCAACTTCGGCAACTAGATGGTGCTGTTTCACTTCAACAGCTTCTGTTTCCAAGGGAAGCACTTGCGCAACTCCAATAACTTCTACTCCCTGCTTGTCCGGTCCTGCTTCGAGAACTTCAACGGGAGCAAGAGCAACCTCAGCGCCCAGATCATGCTGCTTCACTGCAACATCCTGCACGGTCCGTTCCTCCAACCCCACCACATCAAAAAAACCTCCCTAGGCGCGCCCGACACCTGCAGGCTCGCCTCAGCACCCACCGCCGCCACAACAGCTGCGGAGGTCAAATCAGGCCGCTTCACGCCGCCACCGGCGTCCTCCCCTCCTCCAGTCCAGCATCAAGGCGCACCTGCTGAACAGCCTTCACGGGAACCCCCTCCTCCTCCTCAGGCAAGCCCTCCAGCTCCTTCACCTCCGCGACGACCACCGCCGGCGCCTTCTCCGCCTCGACCCACCCCTCCGCCTCCGGCGGCGCCACCGCCGCCCTCCCCTTTCGCTACGCATCATCACCTCGTCGACCTCGATGATCCTCTCCTCCTCCTCCGCCACCTCCTCGGCGATCGCGGCTGCGGCGCGATCGGTCCGGCGCGGGGGATCATTGGCGGCGAAGAGCGTGGCGAGCAGGAAGGCGGCGAGGAGGGTGACCGCCGCCGTGAGGAGCAGCTCGTAGAACAGCTCCATCTCTCCGGGTGGTGGAAAAGGAAGCCGGTACGGCTTTTTTTTTTTGGCCCCTTCGCTTTCTCGCTCGGCTGGGGACGGAGCGGAGGGGAGGGGGGGACAGGGGAGAGAGGAAGGGAAAAAGGCGAAGCAGAAGGAGAGAGACGAGGTCGAACGAATCGGTGGGTGGGCGTGGGGGAGTAAAGGAGGACGGTGGGGGCGCCAAAGCCAAAGCAAGGCATATTCGGACGGATACGATCGCCACGAGGGACGCGGGGGTGAGATGGGCGATGGCGAGGGCGGGCGACGCCGAAAAAGTCATTTCGTCTGGGAGCTGCTGCTTGGAGTTGGAAACGAGGATGCCGACGCCGTCAGGCGTCAGGGGATTTCGTGTCATCGTGTGCTCCATGTGGCACGCTTCCCCTCGGCCCTGCCGGCCTCGCGGCGTAGGGACGAGCTACCGGCACCGCTCGCTATGCGGAATTTACACCAGCTGCGCCTGAGTGCACTCATTGGTCACTGCTAACTTGTTAACGAAGAAAACAGTTCAGTACCAACAGCCATATATCGCTGTCTTCGTCGTTAGGGTCAATGGCTATGTATTATGTACCGTACCGTGTAGAAGTACTTCCATGATAAGTTAAGTCCTAATACACGAGCTAAATTCGTGAAGGGCGCTTATAGATGATAATGGGACATTAATGGCATGTTTGGTTTGCGGCGTGAGGTAATCCGAAATGATCCGAACCTACTACGGAAGCTGTCGATGCTGTTTGGTTTCTGGCATGGAAGTGCCTTATCCGTCATCTGTTGATTCCCCGTAGAATAAATTGCAAGTGATCGCAGAGGACCGCCTCGCTCCGCAAAAAATGTCGGATGAACCTATTCTATTGTCAACGGGTCCACCTGATGCTGGATGGAATGAATCGGCTGTTAGAATAATAGGTAATTTCTATGTCATTTTAATTTCATAAATTAACAGCATGATGATGACATATAAAGAAATATTAATCATTAAAATCATGACATCGATTATATCCATGGTGAAAATACATGCTAGATCATATATCATGTGAAACATATGAAGATCAAAAACATGTGAACTTGATTCATGAATCATAACAGAGAGAAACTGGCATGAAATACATCTCATATTTGCAACAAGCATAAGGCTACATACGAAACAACATGACTGTAAAAAGAAAACACATACGCAGAGCATGTATCTCAGCGAGAAAATGCATATAAGACATCTTATAAAACGACATGACTGGTCATATGAAACAAACTGATGACAACATCTGGAACAACACGGATGAACTAACTTTGAAACATGTAGAAAGTAAAAGCAGAGAGAAGATGAAACGATCATACCCTCCCATCCGCAATTCAAGTTTCAAAGATTCGACATGCCGTAGAGAGAGAAAGATGTTCCCTCGGAAGGCGGCGACGCCATGATCGGGAAGAAGATGACGTCGGAGACGGAGACTCTTGGGCGATCCGTAGACGCTCCCCAAAACCTAATTGCCGATCCCCGAGCAAGGTCCCGAACGACAAGGGCTTCAGAGGCACTGCCTCTCGCTTCTCCGTCTTGCCTTGAGTTACGAGATGAGGAAAGCCATCGAGCAACTAAACTGTGTTTCCTAGAATGTGTTCTCTCTTTAATCTGGAGTTGGAAGCCTCACGGGGGAAGCCGAGAGGTCTCGGGAGGCATGCCACGAGAAGACAGAGAGACCCCGGAGATCGAGAGTCGGTGGCTTGAGTGAAAACTCCCGTGATTAGTGGGTGCTAAAAAGTTAACACGCCACGCCACGCCGCGCTTTGCCTCGCCTCGCCTCGCCCACGCCCGCCCGAGCCTCGAGCTTCGGCTTTGGCCAAGCGGCATGCAGCTGCAACATGTGTGCCACGCTTTTGTCCGTTTCTCAACTTCTCAAATTAGACGGATCAATTCCAGTCATTTAAGTTGAGTCAACGTCCTTTTAACTTCTAATCCGGTACAAATAATAATACCCACAATTACAAGTCATAGAGTTATTGATTTATTAGATATATAAATGGGCATAGCCCATAATAAATCAACAATCCCCATCAAACTCTAGGGTTTGTAATCAGATAGTTCGAAATCACAATTCTTTGATATACCAAGAGTTTTACGATGGAGACCGTTAAGTTGAACATCCACCTAGAACAAGAGTTTCACTCGGTCACAACCGAACAATGGACTATGCCTTGAATTGACGGTTTTGTGTGTGAGGTGAGATTCACTCAAGTCCTTTGTTTGGTACTAGGTTGCAACAAGCATCTCCGCTGTTTGAAGCATATAAGTCACACTTCTATGCCTTTCATGAGTGTTTAGGGATAACCCAGGTCCCATAGACTGTGACCAGCAGTCTGACTCATATAGGTGTACTTCTCAAAAGATGTTCTGTAGGACAACATCTCATCTTTACAAGACTCTCGGAATACATTAAGATAAATACCATCCTGCCTTACAGAAGGAAAGATATGCATCAGAGATAGGTTCGTAGGGAACTTTCCTCTCAATCTACTCATAGCTTGTTTCACCACTCTACTTCATGGGATCTCCGATCACATAGAGCGGAATTACCACTACGAGAGATTTTTCACGTGGGTCTCATACACATCTCTCTCGATGCACTTTCTATCACATTTCGTGATGATCCCTTAGTGAATTGATCTGCCAGATTATTCGACGTGTGGACATAGTCCAACGTTATAACTCCGGAGGTTTTCAACTTTCGGCATGTCTTTAATCTTCTTTTAACATGCCTTGTGGACTTCATGTTATTCCCGAACTGTTGATCTTTGTAATCACAATCCGGTTGTCACAGATTCATTGAGATAGCCGGTATCGGTTTTTCAACTACCGTAAATCCAACAGAAATCACGAAGCCACTCGGCTTCACTCAAAGATGTCCAATGCAATGAGTTCTCGCTTTCATTGTAGACTTCGTTAAGATAGTCCGCTTGCAAGACTTCTAGGAAACAAAGACCACCTCCAAGCGAAACACATATCCGCTTGTGGCATAAAGCTCATCAAGATCGAAATCCGGTTGGCATCACAATAGCCTTCCAAACTTTTGGATGTCCAGTATAATGAATACCATAAGTCATAGTACCTTTTAGATAACGCAACACTCTCTCAAGAGCACGCCAATGATCATCTCCTGGGTTTGACACAAACCGGCTCAGCTTACTCACAAAGATATGAGATGTCGGGCCTTGTCGCTTTCATAAGGTACATGAGTGAGCCAATGATCTGGGAGTATGTCAGTTGATCCCTTGCTATTCTTCGATTTTTCCTCAATAGCACGCTAGGATCGTAAGGCGTGGGAGCAGGATCACAGTCACTAAAACCAAAGCGACTTAATACCTTTTCCACATAGTGGGATTGTAACAGAGTTACCCCACCATCACCTTCTCTAATAAGCTTGATGTTTAAAATAACATTAGCTTCTCCCAAATCTTTCATTTCAAAATTGATCGACAGAAGTTTCTTTACTTCCTTAATCACATTGAGATTTGATCCAAAGATCAGGATGTCATCAACATATAGGCACAACATAACAGCTTCACCCCCACCATATCGATAATACACACACGTGTCAGCTTCGTTCACAGAGAAACCGTTAGATGTTAAAGTATTATCAAACCTTTCATGCCATTGCTTATGTGCTTGTTTTAGGCCATATAATGATTTTAACAACCTGCACACCTTGTTCTCTTGACCATTCGCAACGAACCCTTCTGGCTGATCCATATAGATCTCCTCTTCTAACTCTCCATTTAGAAAAGCTGTCTTAACATCCATCTGATGTATGATAAGACCATAAGAGGCAGCCACAACAATTAAGGTGCGAATTGTAGTCAATCGAGCAACTGGTGAATAGGTGTCAAAGAAATCTTCACCCTCTTTTTGGGTATATCCTTTGGCCACAAGTCTTGCCTTGTACCTCTCAATTGTACCATCAGGCCTAAGCTTTTTCTTGAAAATCTATTTGCAACCTATAGGTTGACAACCATAAGAACGGTCAACGACCTCCCAAGTTCCATTAGACATAATAGAATCCATCTCACTCCTTACTGCTTCCTTCCACAAGTCAGCATCAGGAGAAGAATATGCCTCTCTAATGGTGGTTGGTATGTCTTCCACAAGGTACACTAAATAGTCATCACCAAAGGATCTTGCAACCCTCTGTCTCTTGCTCTTTCGAGTGACTATAGTGTCATCCTCCTCAGGGATGTGCACATGAGAATCTTCAGCATGATCTGTTGGAATAGACAGTTCGTGTTCATGGGAAATTATAGTCTCATGACTTGTTTCACTTGGTGTATTCTTCATTGGAAATTCATTCTCAAAAAATATAGCGTCTCTAGATTCCATGATTGTATCAACATACATATCAGGAACTTCAGATTTTATAATTAAGAACCTATAACCAACGTTGTGAAAGGCATAACCAAGGAAAATACAATCAACAGTTTTAGGCCCAAGTTTACGCTTTTTGTTGATTGGCACATTTACTTTAGCCAAGCAACCCCAAGTGCGCAAATATGAGAGATTTAGTCTTCTCTTTTCCCATTCCTCAAATGGTGTGATCTCTTTATTCTTTGTTGGAACTCTGTTCAGGACATGACATGCTGTCAAAATAGCCTCACCCCACCATTCCTTAGATAATCCCGCTGTACTCAACATGGCATTCACTAACTCTGTTAGAGTGTGGTTTTTCCTTTCAGCAATCCCATTGGATTGTGGTGAGAATGACGGTGTCCTCTCATGAACAATACCATGTTCCACACAAAACTCATCGAAGACATTAGAAAAATATTCTCCACCTCAATCGGACCTTAACCGCTTTATTTTCCTCTCAAGTTGGTTCTCAACTTCAACTTCATAGGTCTTAAAATAATTAAACGCTTCATCTTTTGTTTTTAAGAGATACACATAGCAAAATCTGGTGGAGTCATCTATAAACGTGAGGAAGTATCTTTTACCGCCTTTA